AAAAACATCCCTGTGGCACCCCCTCCTTTTGTTGGGCTTCCTGTCCCTCACAAAAGAAGAGGGAGGGACAAGAACAAGAAAACCTGTCAAAAGGAAAGGGGCCAGGCATAGGAGAATATTGATTTCATGAAATAAAAAAATTTCTTGAATTCTGAAGGTCCAAAAGGGTGTGTCCCCGTGGAAAAAATGAAAGAGTCCAACAAGGCTGTTTGTTTACCACAGCATTTAATTCCTACTACTTCAGAGGTGGTTCGTATGTATGAGGAACGAGGTGGACAACTCAATACGGATCCAAGTATTGGTTATGACCCAATTGTACACTTTCAAGGTTTGCAAGATTCCAGAGAGAATATGTTTCATTTGAAAAACCCAACTTTTGAAGAAATATTTTCAGATGTGGTACATGGCGATGTACATACATTTTTATCTGCAATTCAAAGCTTTATTGAAATAACACAGATGCTTTCACCTAGTAATTGACAACATATTCAAATGATAGGGGTTTGACATTAGTGTCTGCCAAACTCTACGACCTTACTCATATATATTGTAAGTTTTTAGAAAATAATATCTAAGTCATCAAACACATTTACATTTTATTTTAAGTGAATACTGGAAGAAACAAATATAGTAAGGTAATTGTAACGACACTTTCCAACTAAAGTTTTTTTTCTTTCCTTTTCAGAAGCTTTTATCGTAAGCCATATAACCCAATTCAATAATTATCTTTACCAATGTTTTTCTCTTCGTGGGTGTTTCAGAAGTTTTTTGTATACGTTGTAAATTCAAAATGCATTGAAATAAGTTACTTGCATTGACATCAAGGTTAATGGCTCTGAAACTTTCTATGAAACAAGCACTACACAGTCTTGTAGAGCAAAGGCAGGAAAACTATGGAATAAAAACATGCTAAATACTAAGAAAGAGTAGATATTTAGAGACAACTTGTCAGTATCAATCATCCAGAACTTGGTCAAAGACAGATAATTACATAGTTCTGGTTGAGTGATACTGACAATTTGTCTCTAAATATAATATGTTATATATCTGCTATTTGTTAGTACTTAGTACTTGGCCCTCGACAGTCTAAACCTTTCAACATTTCATTTCTGATACTGAGCTCTAAGGTGGTTTTTAAAAATGTTAAATAATAGAAAAGTTTTCAACTACAACGTTTTATTAAAATTTTGATCAAATTTACAACGCTGTTAATTTCTTGTTTACTACCAACAAATGTTTGACCTTGGCAAACATTTATTATTTACCTCTAAACTGTCAATTCTGGTATCCTAAAAAATAATAAATGCAACCAGAAAGTATAATAACAGAATACGAGTAATTAATTAGTTATGACCCCATTGCATTAAGTACTAAGATCTACAAAATTCTTGAGAGTATATGTCTTGTTTTATATATCCCTGAAATATTTATCTTAAATTTATATTGCCTTTTGACTATCACTTTATCTTGGTAATCATTTTTCTATAACCCGAACAACAAACAATTAAAGCTATCTTATAAATCTGATGTCATCATGAATTAACTGSAATATTTGTCTTGGATGCAGATTTTAAATTGTACAATTCTAACTGCTTGTGCTTTGGCCATATCTATCATAAAATCTAACAATATATTTTAAAGCTTGACATTATACAAGCAAACATAAAATGCATCATATCACCACTAGAGGTGTTCCAATCAGTTGAATAATGATGAATTAACAGAGAGTTAAATAAATGACTCACTTTTTTATGACAAGCTAACTTACTATGCTGATCAATCATCATATTGTGTAACTTGTGTACTTCACACTGTTCTACAAAGGGCTACTTGTAATAATGTACCATTTTGTACMCAGATCCTTGATAGGATATGGTTTCAAGCCACATGATTGATTCACAAGTTAAAAAAATAACAAATCTATGCAAGCAAAAAGCCAGGTTTCACAGAGCCTATGATAGGTAATTCTAAAGTATGGTCTGGGGGCAAGAATACTCATCATTTTTCCTTCAAATAATAACTACATGTATAATGATAACTCTAAAAACTCAACAATAAACATTGAAGTTTTGAAGTAGTTTGCCCATAAATCTTCATCCTGTTACAACTACAAAACAAAAATGTAATGACTAAAAACTAAATGAACTAGGCAATGACAGTGTTCTGACCAGGCCGCGCCATTGTGGGATTTACACATTCAAAACATAAATGGTGAACAATATTCACCTTCACGTGCCCCCAATGGCGCGTGAATTATCTATCTTTAGATTTAGAGTACKTTTGGAGTAATAAAAGTTTCAATATTGTCAAAAACAACTTGCAATTCTGCATGAAGCAACACAGATCACTAGTGGCCGCCATCTTGTCAGCTCGCCAAGAAGTCTGTGACTAGTCTGTGTTAACTGACCTTGCTTACAGAAGGCTCAAGATTTTGGATATGGCACATCCAGTTTTCAAATGGCCCCTAAATTTGGGATTAAAGGGCCCCTTTGAATTTCCTGGTCAGAACACTGCAATGTTGTTGGAGGTTATCCAGCAAAGGGCACAAGAAAAAGTAACCTGTACTGATAATATGCAGATGTCATCAATATTAATATGCAGATGTCATCAAATCGTCACTAGACCCATCATCAGCCGCTGTTGACCTTAAGCCAGCATCTTTCAGGGCTGATTCTAATGAAACATCAACAGAGTTAAGGTGCTCCCCAAGACCACTCACTAGAAGTGGTTTCCTTAATACCTTGGCTGTTAGAGATTCTCTGCACAGAGGGCACTCAGATACTTTGGCTGCACAAGTAAAACACCCTATCAGTTGACCACATCCAGTGGTGCAGAAATAAAGTGCAGGTGAGCATGTCATTTGACAAAGCACACATTTAAAAACTTCTAAAAGTTTTTTTGACTTTTTCCCCTCCAGAAGTAACTCTTTTATTTCCTTGATGCCATCCTTGATCTCAACAGCATCCTTCATTTCATCAGCATCCTTGATCTCATCAGCATTGCTGGAGTCCTATAAATAATAAGTTAGATGTATATCAAACTATAAGGCTAGGTTCATTATGATTGTATTTATTAATTCATTGAATGTAATTCTTTTCAAATTTCTTCAACTTGTAATAACGCTTTCAGGTCATCTTAATAATTAAAAGGCAAAATATTTTGTGTCAAATGACAGTTTAAAAACCTAGATGGTTTTTTTTACAGCACAAGGTCTAAAGCTATTGCAAAAAGATTTGGGGATATACTCATCATGATAATAATATGAAGAATCGCTTGAAAACGGTTTTGGTCTTTTTCTGGTATAAATGATGAAATTATCCTTTTTTCAAAGAAAGAAACAAAAATGCTGAAAACATGCAAAAATATTATAATATTTAAAAACTTCACAAAAAATAATAAATTATAAAGAAAAGAACATCTAGTGAACAACAAGAGCTATACAACTGTCACTCATAACATAAAGAAAGATTTGACAACTCGTGATTATTTCATCAGCGAAATAGTTTTGTATAAAAGCATTTAATCACAGGCAGCCCAACTATGAAGTAAGAGCAATTTACATTTATGTGGCACAAATATTACATATTCAATCCGCTTGAGGCTGTTTAAAAGTTTTAAAGGAAACATTCTGAAATCGCCATTTCATTTTCTTGGCGCGAACTAAATATTTTACAAGGTGAAAAGTTTACAGCCAGTCTAAATTATCCTGTCAATCATCCCAACAATAAATTAGTTCATCCGCGAATGATTGCGTTGTTCTACTTCCACGTGTATTTTTTAACATAGCGATTTCTTATTTTGCATAAAATGCCAGAGAGCTGATATCAGCATAAATGTAAGAGGCAGATTCGGACTCAACAGAGTCCCAAGAAAACATTCGGTCTTTTAAATAAACTGTGAAATGTTTTGCACTTTGAAGGACGCGCTAATAAAGTTTGAAATCTACAAGTGTGAGAACACTGCTCGTTCATTGGCTAATACTTTAGCTGACTTTCGCCGCGAATACAGCAAGTTTTTTTAGTTGCAAATTACGCTATTGAACGTAATATCATTCCGCTTCCACGCACAAAAGTTTTATTTTATCAGCAACAATTACTAGTAAACCAATCAATAAAGTACTAATTCAGTTTTCKCTGGTATCTACTTTTTCCTCCGAATCCGATTTGTTGACAAAGCGCGAGAGACTACTTTTAGTGACGGATTGTTAGATTATACTCTGGAAGGCAGACCTACCTGCTGACCTACCGGTCCTTGATCTGTGAAAAAACCAATTCCATTGATTGCAGCCCAGGCGCTGGGCTGCCATTTTTTGTATATTTCCTGACACATGACTCTAAATTTTTTCTGTGAAGACCAGAACTCTAGCTCTGTAAGGAACAAGTACCATAGTTAATTTGTGACTGAATTAAAATTCGTTTACATTTCAAAACTTATTAGCTGGCAAATTGACAGCGATAGGCACATGAGAAAAAAAAACACCGCCTCGTAGATTTGGAAGGATAATTATTATCAAAAAAGGTATCATATGCTTAACGAAAGCGACGTTGATTTGTAGGTTTCTAATTATAACTAGTAACCGATTATTAGCTTTGTATCAGTGCTGGGTAATGAAAATAACTTACTTCTCGTTTGAGACGTATCCATTACAGGCTTTCCTTTGGCATCAAGCATTATCAATCTTACAATCTCTCCTTGCTGTCGTAACTCTTGTTCTATTGTGCTACACAGCACTTGGACTGACAGGCTTCCAAAACTTTCTACAAGTTCAGACAGATTGATTGCGATCGGGTATATGTCGTGTATCCCGCCTTCTTCATCTATTACTGATAGGAAGACCTCCTTTGTGATCGATTGTGTCCTTGCTTTCTTAACAGTCTTTCCCTTTATGAAGGACAAGCCCGGAACTGGTCTTTTGCCTACACCACCAAGAAGCTGGCCTCGCGGATTTGGAGTTTGTACAAGTGATGTCGATGGAGGAGACAGTACAGAATTACTGCAAAATGCAGAAATGTTTTTAAAGTTCAAAACTTATACACATTGAACAATAGTGATTTAATACCTCAAGACTTGGTTGTTCGAGTCATCGTTTATAGCACTCAAAGCTACCACTTGTGCATTCTGTACACCCATGGGAATAAAGAAGTTGCCATTTGGAAGAGCCCAAAGGTTTTCTTCTCTGCCATTTCTGTGGATTTTTAAATGAAGGCCCGACTTCTGCACATTAAAAAGCGAATATAACGTTTCTTTTGAGACCAGGTTAGTTGGTAAACCTATTGATTTCCCCTCGTACTCTAGTACGATCACCGACTGAGACGCCATGATAGTGAAGGAAATGTGCGCGAGTTTCCCGCCAAAAAGTGTCATGTGATCTCAGAGACCTTCGCAGCATCGAGGCTATCAGAGATTGTATAGTAATCGTTAATGTGGGGAGGGGACGCTCTACGTATATTTAAACAAGTTTCTTCCGGTATCAATCTGTGCATAACAAATTGACACTTTTTTATAATTTTGTGCAATTCCAGCTAACTTTTTTTTTGCTGTATTTCAGCTCTCTTAGAATTTTCACCTGTGAAAAAAACTCAAACAGAAATATCTACACTTTGGTGTGAACATTAGTAATGGGACAACAAGAAAGAACATCGTATTTCCCGCTATTTACCACTGCGCGCAAGGCGCCAGTAAAAACCGCCAAAATTAAAGTAGTCCTAGTCTGAAAGCCACGTTTCTAAGGTTTATTTTGGTACCAAACATGGCGTATCAAATGAAAAGAAAATGGAAGATCGAGGCCAATTATTCGCGTGAAACACGCGTCTTCGCCAGCCATTTCACCGTCAAGTTAGTTTTTGTACGATTTCTAGTACCAAAATGGACGCTGTTGATCGTCTTCAAAATAGCTGAAAATCGCTGTGTTCCTACYTCAATATGTGGACTTTGAGAAATGATCTATGGAATGTCAGTGAAATGTAAAGGAACACGATCAGCCACGGTGAAATTTCGCTTCTTCGCGAATTTTCATCATGAGATACAAGGCCAAAGGGAGACGACGAAAGGAAAATATATGGTCAAAAAGGACGCTGTTAACAATATTGGATTTATTTGGATTTCCTACAGTGGAATCAAGAATAGTTTCCCTTTACGAATCCATCTATGGAATTTTTCCAATTAAAACAGATGAAATGTTATTCTCAAATATATTTTTTGATCCATACATTTCTTTGTAAAATTTACATTCATGTTTTTATGCATTTATGCGAAGTACCGCTGCGATTGCGGGCTCAAATGTCCGGATTTTCTGGCCATGATTGTGGCCAAGGACGCCGCGTGGAACTGCTTGTAAATCTTACTCCACGTGGTTAATAATATTCTTTTTTAGGAC